CGTTGAACATTTTTGTAATTGATTATGATTTGATTAGACTTTCACTATTCGATCTGTTGCTTTATAATACATGATCAGTTATTCTTTTACTTATAACAAAAAATAGCCTTTTGGTTTATTCACGAAAACGTCATATAGTTGGAGTAAAAAATTCTGAGGTTTATATAAAAGAACGTAAATTCACTGGAGTAAGATGCTGAAAATAATAAGAAATTGTTTTATTTTATTGGCTCTGTTAAATATTTTGAGTCACCCAAATTGTTTAATTAGCAAAAGTTACTATTTTAATAGTAGCTTCATTTATTGGGGAGTTTGTTCGTGAGTTATGAATTTTTCTTCATATTGTTAAGTAAATTTTTTTAAACTCGTAATTTTAGAAAAAAATAGTGCTGTCCATGTTTTCATCAACATTTTTCACTTGAGAAAAGACCAGCATGAAGGGAGAGAGAACCGAAGCTGTCAAAACCAATTAGCCAAAACGATGACTGTGGCTATCACTTTGAGTTCACTTTTTGACTTTTCAAACACGCTGAAAATATCTTTTCTTCTACTTCAGACAGATGTATTACCTTAAAGGAAAATATACTTCTGCTATACTTCCACTGGTAACGCGTATTCTTAATTTCAAATTAATTGATTATACCGGAGCCAGTTTGTAATAAACCCTGAAAATTCTTTTAAAAGTGACTCACATTAAATTGTTCAATACATGTCCTTCCATTGCCCAAAATTCAAAGATGGAGAAAAATATAAGTACAAAAAGAATTACTAAGGAACCAGTACTTTGTAGTCACAAAAATCTTTACTTTAAGTCATACATATTAAGTGCAATAGTCATTATTCATTAATGAGTTCACTTTTATGGCTAAATGTAATAGGAGGGGGGGGGGTTAAGGTCGAACTACCACTTCCAATAAAGAGTAGTATCAAGACACGTCGCCATGACATAACGATGAGCAACAAAAGGCGTGAGCAATTCCGCCTCCGCGATATTATCAGGTGCCTATTTGGGAAACACTTTTACCTACCGTGTCGTAGACAGAGAAGGAGGTTGCGAGAAGACCGAGCAATAGACTGTCCATCACAAAAGCAAAAAAGTGGCCCATGTATGATTGAAGCATTATTGAGACTTTCCTCTAATGAGCGGCCAAGAGAACTCATTAATCGATAATTTAATGGCTGAGGAATTGAGTAAGTGAATTCCTCTCACGAATTACTTGGCTTACTAATGCTAGGCTAGTTCTTTGGCAAGATCTTTTAATCCGGGGGTCATTTTCTTATAGATGGATCATTCCAAAATTTGGCTAAGGTTAGTAAACTGATGATTCGAACTGCTCCAGATAGTCTCTTTTTCTTGCAAATTACTTTACAGAAGGCATTAATTTCTTTGATATCAGGTGAAATGAAGTTAATTCAAAACCACCCTCTAATAATTTTAATTGATAAACGAGGTCGAGCACAGGTTAAGGGATAATTGTTAGTAGAATCCAAACGATATATTCATCCAAGCATTACTGTGTATCCAGAGAGGATTAGATTATTAGTCAACCTCAATCCAACATTTAAATTGCTTGTCTAATCTCGTCTACCCGTTCATGGTTACAAGAAGACCTGAAGGAATCTAATCGACAAGATCAATTACTTCCTCAAATTAACTGATCGGGTACTGGATACCGCCCATTGTGGGAATAGGGCTTTGAAATGTTTGGACCTTACAGTGTGAAGTTTAATAAAGCAGAGTTCTTTCGTCGCACTAACTGCTACAGACTAGGTCTTCTGTAGATATATTACTCCATGATTAAAACCCTTAATATCTATTATGCATTATCACGAGTATTAGCATAAATCATCTCTCTCTCTCTCCCATTTTTCTGATGATTTCAAGCCTAGGACTTAAAGTTTCAATTCTATAATAATAATGATAGTAATAATAATAATAAGAAAGGTGGAGATATTCCACGGTGGGCAACTCAGGTATAATTTACCTCTTGTAAAAGGCTAGGCAAATCAGCATTGAAAGGGTGAATAATTTGTTCAGAAATATACCCACCAACCTACCATCACTCATTTACTTCCTCGCTGGTGTAGCAGGAAAATGCTATGGATATAAGCCACCGAGCACATCGTCTTTGAGTAGAAATTAAGACTTTGTCGGGGGGGGGGGGGGGAGGTATGGTAGAAAGCTACCAGGGAGGGGGGGAGGGGGGAGGGGGGTAGTAAAAAAGGTGGCCTCAAGCGCGTATAACTCGCATAAATGTACACGCGTATATCTCAATGATTTAGACGGTGAGTCACGCCTCACTTTACCGGGCTACCGTGTATCAGGAGTCGAGGGGACAGAGTTGGACGTAGGAGTGGGGTAGGAGAATTGACATCCAATCTCTTGTCCTCACCTGAAAGTAATTCAGTTATCCTGTGATGGGAGGTGGGGGGGGGGGGGGGGGGGCTAAGGAAGAGGGAAAACTATACCAAACACAATCTATTCGTCGTCGGTAGTGCGTGCGCTTGTACCTGTACGTGTACTAGTCATGCTCTCAGCACCAAGGAGGGGTTAGAAAGGACGATGACTACAAAATAATGCTGCCATCAATGTGGCCTCCTCTGCTATTCTGAAATAATAAACCAGAGATTATTGCCAAAGTCGGTAGTATCAGACGACGCGCATACATGCTCATTAGAAATGACGCCTGCTTAAGGCGCCGAATGAATGTTTACGAATAAAAGGAAATAAAGCGCAGATTTAAAATAAAAAGGATTTTCTACTGTTGGCTTATCTTCACATGTATATTAACAACGACAGAAGACGCCTTCATTGCCTTTCATTAATAGAAGTTTTCCAAGACTAGTTCTCCTTTTCCCTAAGACAGCGGTTTAAAAATTACATTTTGAGAATATCTGAAGAACAACAGCCCAGCAAGTTCAGTGAGCCCTTGACAGTTACAAATGAGCCTTCAAAGGCATTATGAGGAAGAGGAGGAATATGAGTAATGTAAGAATAAATCGACAAATAACAACCAATTTTCGTCAATTTAGCGCAAGACTAACTTCTCAAAGTTTGTTATTTTCATGAGCATTTTGAATGATAAGTCAATTGTAAACACTGGTCTTTTTTCCATTAATTTACATTTTCCGGCATATTTAAAACCAACACTGATTAACAAATTCGGCACCCCATTTGAGACATCGATGAATAACTGCACATTCCAAGATCTGGTGTAAGACAAAGGTCAGCAACTAACAGAAATCGAATGCGTTTTCAGTCAATTGGAATAGATGTGCATATACTTATTCGAACGATAGAGACTGCTAGACGGTGAAAGAAATATGTTGAACCCAGATGGTCATATTGTAGTAGATTATATTTTTCATAATTTAGTAAACATATTGCAATAAGGCAAAAAAGCTTAAGAATTCCTTCTTCAACAGAAAAATCCTATTTTTTTTGGAAACCCAATTCTTAATTCATAAGCTTCAAGATATGACAATAAGTTTTGATTTAGGCAACAAAGACCTTTATTCATAAAAAAAATTATAACATAAGCTACAATTAGGATAGTTGGCAAGGCCACCTCCAAATACATCGAGGTAGACGATAAAAATATGAAGGAACTTAGAACCCTGTTGATACTTATCCTTTCATAACTCCGTCTTGGAAATTGGAATAAATAGTTCTAATTCAAACAGCAATCTTACTTGTGCAACCAAACAGAACATATAATTAAGAAGGAAACTCCACACAGGTATGCCAGAATGTTTTCGTGAACTATGAAGAAATGAGTATATTATATCTATTAAGTCAATTTTAATTTGATTGGATCAATATAATATGATTCACATGACCATTTCTTTAATGACGCTTTTTAACTTGTTAGTATAAGTAATATTACATCGCTACTCATTCAAACATAAAAACTATGCGAAAAAATAGAATCAGTAAGCGAAACGATAGCTAAGTTCTATCACCTAATTGCTGCACGTTTAGTTATAACTCATTAACTTGCAAAGTAACAATGGATATAAGAAACAAGAAAATAGTGGATATTTCTGGAACCAATCAGTACTGGAATACTTATTCCAATACCGATTTTTCGAAAAATAATTTCCTACAGGGAAAAGCATATCAAAACACAATGTTGATGCAAATATTCGGTATAAAGTTAAAAATAATAATGACATTCACAATATTTCAGACAGTTAATTGGAACGATCATGTTAGCTAACACAATATTAAATACAACACTGCTAACGTATATTTACCCTTAATATGAAAGTGTCGATTAGTTACGCTCTAACAGTGAACATCTCAATAATGAGAGAATTTTCCAAAAAATGAAAAAGTACATATACGAGTTAATCGAAAACTCAATTTGAGCAACTAGAGATTTTCTTTATTATGACTTAAGATAAAAAAGTGAACTTTTTCAGTTCAGATAAATCAGGACATTTCACGGAGCCACATTAATTAATAGATTTCCTTAAATTTCTCTTCAAAATGCTCGACTCAATGGAATGCATTTAAAATTTAACCAAGCCCATTAATATGAGCACGATTTGTTATAGATTAATAAAAAATGAAAATCTAAGTATTTTTACTTCCAAGAAAGCATGATCACTGCAGAACATGAAATTGAAAAGTCAATATATCTAATGTTAACTCTGAAGGGAAAACGTGAGCAAAAATAATTTCGATATTTGATGCAAAAGTGTTGTTTTAATAAAAATGATATTTTGTTAAATAAACATTTCAGAATCCATATAATATAAAAATAATAAATTAACAAATGACACAAAAAATATCATAAGTCTAATATAGTTATTTCAGGTCATTATTTTTCCCTTCCAAATAATCAGTAATCTATAGAAGCGGGTGTTTTAAGCCCGCTGGGTCATTCAGTAGGAGTGTTCTGGACTATTATCGAAGTATCTTGTTATTTCTTTTAAATATTTGGTATCGATTATCTGTTCTGCTTTTTGATTGAATCTTGTTCTGAAGAGGAAATATGCAAAAAGAGGAACCCCAAAGGTTGAACAATACAATTATAAAGCCGATTGTGTATGGCAATGTTTCGCGTTACCTGGGCAAAAAACGCGAAGAAGACGGTCGTACTCACGTTTGGACTGCCTTTATCAGACCTTTTGATCCCAACGATGACATTTCTGCCTACGTCAAACGCGTACAATTCAAACTTCATGAGAGTTATTCTAATCCTATCCGCACCGTTATTAAACCACCATTTGAGGTGACTGAAACTGGATGGGGGGAGTTCGATATCGCTATGAAAGTAAAGATATTTATTTTAATTGACATTTATTCCTTCTGCATTTCATTCGTACAGTTTTATTGCATTTTATAGGTGTTTTTTATTGACTCCAACATGAAACCTCTTACAATTAATCACCTAATTAAACTCTTTCATTTTGATCATGAGATTATGATGGGTCAAAAGAGTTTAGTCCGTGAAATTTACGATGAAATGGTATTTGTGGATCCGTCTCCTGAAATGTTGCATGGGCTTATGAAGTCAACATCTTCGAATCGGTCCAAAATCCCTCCTGTACATCATGAGACCGATTTTGCCGAGTCAAATCAACAAGCTCTCGACAACATAGAGGACTTGAATAAGAAGGTCGTTGAAGCCATTGAAGCCTATCGTCAGCAATTGATTCTCAAAAAGGATATTGTGGAAGAGGTAAAAGCTATTGCTGATAAAGTTGAAGCATCAGTAATAGGCTCCATACCGTGAACTACATTCATTCTGGTTTTATTTTTATTTCAAAAAAATGCATTTTTATGTTTGTAGATATTTTTTTAATAAAAGAAATTCGCCTAATCAATGCTTTTTTGTTTTTCTCTGGTTGCTGCTTTTCTCTATCTATTGAAATCGCAAAATATTCAAAAACGAAGGTTTTTTCTTTATTTTTTTCAATTTCTTTTGTCCTATAATGAGTTATGTTTTATGTAAAAAATCATGGTTGCTAAAAATTATAGATTTATCGAAATGGTTGATCTTCTAACTCTCATCTTGGACTTTCTGAATTAACTCTGATATGAAAATCGAATTTTGCAATGCCTCTAGAAATTTTCAAAGTTAAAGATCAACATTTTGGTTTTCACTATACGATTTTCACATGCTCAGCGGTGTTTTTGAATGCTTCTCAGCAGAAATTCCTCTATCCTGACTGTTTTTCAGTAATCTTCTTCTCCATTTCTTATTTCTAAGGGACATTGATGGCTGGTCCTTAAACATTTAGGGAACGAAACCCAGAGGTTAACAAAGTTAGAGTTCGTGAACCTCAGATTGAGTTCACGGTTAAACGAATAGCAAAGACGATATTCGTTTTGGTGTTTAGTGTTGGGAAAGATGCCTTTCGCACATTTCAAGTACTTCTTTAAGATGGTTTCTGAGACCTTTAACCATGTTTTGGACCATGTCCATGATACTTAGCTACCAACGTCAAGTGGACTGCCTGACTAACTGTACTGATTAGGCTTGATCAAAATAATATTGATGGAATGCGCGTTTCCACTTCTTCGTTTTAATTGGAGTAGATTTTTAACGGCTGAATATTTTGGATAGCATATTAAAGGTGGTCGACGTCAATGGGCCGTTAAAACTGAAATTCATGCATATGGTTTTTGTGCCATCGTATATCTTTTCTACCTGGGTTATTTGTGACGCATAGTGCCTTTTTATGTGTTAATTGGATACAAAATTTCTCCTACACTTCGATTGTTTTTTGTCTTATTACTTTATATGACCTTTAAAGAGGAAACTTTGAAAATCGCCATTTCGTAGTCTTAACGGCTGAATTGGTCTATTTTTAACGCGTCAGCGATTAAATTTCTGTAGCACCTGTAGAAATTCCGTAAGCATGATCATATGGGGTTTGAATGAAGTGGTGGGGAGAGTGAGGAGGCTAGGGTGTTTGATAGTCAAAGGGCCAATTAGCGTGGAGATGAAGAGCATAAACCTGTAATTCCAGATGTAGGTTAATAAACGCAGTCTCATGTGATCAACATTCGGTAGGTAAAGTGTAGTGGGATATTTGCGAATAATTATTAGAACTTGGTGCACTCAGGGGCAAAAAATTACCAAGTCAAGTAAATAGGCATTATTTAAATTTATTTATTTCAAATGGCAGGCGTTTTGATAGTTATCATTAGCCCTTTAGCTGAATTTAGGCTTCACAGAGAGGAGGAGGAACGCCAAAGTGATAAAATGTCGAGAGGGAGAGGGAACAGAATTATAATTCATAGATGCAAAAGGGACAAACAGACTGACACAAAGGCAGAGAAAATGTAAGATGAGTACCGTAGAAATGGTCGAATGTGAAATACAGTGAGGTCATAGTAGTTTGATGTCAGAAGTCAACTACCGATTAATAGACTTTTTGACGTATGGGTATACGTTTCCCAGGGTGCGCCACGTGGAGGCAATTCTATCGCGTCACGTACATTCTACTGGCAAATATTTAGTAGCTAGTATTGCTCAAAATCACAAAACACCTACGAAGTAACTATCTCAATTCAATGAGATACTTCTTAGGCTTTTTACGTGAAAGGTGTATTAAAATAGCAACCTGTTAAGCAAATTCAAATAGCAGCGCATAACTTCAAAAAGATTGCTTGAGATGGCGAAAGGTCACAAATTTTTCAAAGAAGGAAAAATATTCATTCCATTGAAGCGAAAATATACAGCACTTTGTCACAATAAATAATCGATTACAACGCAATAAATGAGATTATAAATAATAGATATCTCGGATTTTCTTATTAATCAGGAGTAGCCGAAGATAAAATGAACCAATCAGCGTTCATTAGCTCTTAGCGAAGGATTCATAAGTAGGCGAAGAAACTGCCGGAGTACCTTGTAGCGGATTGCTACTTTATTAAAGCCTGACTGACTCAGAAATTTCTATGGCAGATCCTCCTACGTCTAGCTAGATTCCCAGAACCAGCTAAACTATAGCCCAGCTATAAAGGAAATAGACGTGTAGCACGGAGCACGTTTATTCAGGACGTATATTGCGGATCACGTGTACACCCTGGGAGCTACTCATGATCAGGATGGGAATTAGGTAGAGGTTGATGATAAGTCACTATTTGTACGGTCGCTGCACACAGAGTTGTACGGCTGCACCTCCCAATCCTGGCGAGCAGACATGCAGGCATACGATGACGCACACAGCGATAACGTGTCCCACAACCTTGAGATCTGCCAAAAAATGAAATGCGCTTTGCATGATGTTCCTATCATTCATAAATAACATTATTCTAACCTAAATATAAACGAATTTATCAATACACCAAGTAATAAAAGGTATTTTCGTTGCAAATATTTTATAATTAGTAACTGCAGCATTAGAGTTCATCATGCTAGGAATAAGCAGGAAATTCCTGGCCTTGAAAGAAATTAACTTTTTTTTGCAATCTATATGGCCAATTACGAAAGCTTAATTTCAGGAAGTGAACTATTGATTAATCAAATATTGTACAACCCGAATCCAAAAATCTAATAAAGAAGGAGTTACGTAGGTAAAGACGTAGTTTATAACATGAGTGTCCCCCTCTAGTGAAAACAAAATAAAAAGCTTTTCCCTAGCTTAGCTCACCTTGAGTGGACACTGCCCAGTGAGCTCTAGCATGTCAAAAAAGTGTTTTAAAGCGGTAACTATTAGGCAATGCTGACTAAACGCTCTTCGAAAAGGGAGATGAGAGTGGACAGAGTCGCCCCCTCGAGTGTCACCTTCTTCTGACTTGTGACAACTTCAAATATGTATTCACAAAGCTAGCGAGAGAGAGAGCTCAAATCTCCGTTCATACAAAACAGCTCGATTTTTATCCAACTTAAACTGAAGATTATTAATCAATGGAAATGAAGTTCCCAAAGTAGATGTGAATTAGAAATTATGCCTCTTTTTACCTTTCACGATGGCGATTTGTACTTTAATATTTAGTAAAAAAAAGCATCTTTATGCGTCTTTTAATCAATGAAATAGTTGCTTAATCTACTCTGTAAGTGTAAATGCTTATTTGAGTGTCTTGAGATCGAATTCCACCAGATAGACTACGGTGATTGAATTGACCAATGTACTGGTCATTGACAACTTTTCCAAGTCACTTTCTGCCTACCCCATATGCACTATATTTAAACCTAAACCAATCAATCACTATCTATTGCTTATTCGGCGAAGATAGATATTTATTTGGCGCCTATAGCACTCGGTTGTTGCATTTATAAAGCTACAACAATTCGATCCGAGGAGGAAGAAGAAGAAGGCAAACAACAATTATGTAAAGAAAATGGGCTTGCTTAAAGGTATGATTAATGATCTATAGCACAATTAACCCGCATTTGTTGCGATAATAACCCCAGCCGTGGTAGCACAGACCCGTATTACCGAAATTCAATAGATGAGGGATTAAGCCAAAGAGTTATGCAAGAGTGCACCAAATGCATTTAATTAAGACTTTTGAGGCAAATTTTCCAAAGTATGCTTTTAGGTGAAAGCCCCTTCCGCCCTCTACATAAAATTAATTTAAATGGAGGCAAAATTTTTCTGGTGGGAAAGATCTGGTTCCCATTTTCCATTCATCAGTTCTTAAAAAAGCCAAAACACACCACGGATATTTACCGCTGACTCACACCCTACATGCGCCAGACACACGTGTATGTCTTCTCCTTTCCATTTTCTCACTACCGCCGCGCCCTCCACCCTTCCAATAGACACAAAACTTTTCTCCTCTCTCGAGAAAGGAAAAAACCGAAGACAGATGTCATTATGTTCAATTTGACTTACTTTTGGGCGTCCGATGTGGCCATCCAGACCATTCCCCCCCCCCCCCCCCCCCCCTC